GTAGTCTATCCTCAGGGGAGGTCATGTAACAAGGAGGGTGTAACTCTTTTTGGTACTAACTTAATCAGTGTATCAGGTAGTCAGTCGAAAGGTCCCCAAAATTCTGTTTTGTGCTGAGAGTTTTCATGGCAAAATAAAATATTCATAAAACAGGCTGAAATTCAAGACACTTGATGGTGTATAGTGGGTGCATGACATATACAATTTAACACCAATGATGAAGGTATTTAAAATTTGTTCAACAGTAGCAGTGGTTGTTTGACAAGTAAAGAAAACTTCATGTATTTGCAGTGGATTTGGTTAAATGGGGGCTCTGGGGGTGTGCAAACTTCTTGCTTCAAAATTTGTTGGCCAAAGTTCTTGGTGTATTTGATAGACTTCTTGAAAGTGGAATATTTGTAAGAATTATTAGATTCTGTTTGTTCAATTCGATATACATTTCTTAAACTTCTTTGCACATCGTGTGTACAGACACTGGCCCCAAGAGGTCATTTTCCCCTTGTGTTTTGATACACACTTGTTAAATAAGTACCCCCAGTCTTTAAGGTAAAAAGAGGCATATAACCATGAAGTTCATAAGATCGTTCTTTGCTCATAATCTACCTTGTTTATCGCAATTCGATATATAACATTTAATATTGTCCACGATTCTTGTCCTAGTATGGTCTTTGTTAAAAGACCATTGGTGTAGAATTTCATGGAGATTGAGTTTCATTTTTTTGGTAGTTCACACTTGGGTGTTTTCTGTGAATAATGCCTTATTGGGAAACAGAGAGTTTGATATCTGATGCATATGTTGATAAAGGCCATTTACATGGTTATTTACAATGCGATATACACCAGTTTACATCAATGAGGAATTCTCCATCTTGTAATTTAAATGTGAAGATTTGTTTATTTTACTTACCCTTATCACATTTGACGATTTGGTTTTGAAATACAAGATCTTACAAACGACTTTCTGGCCACGGCTAGCAGATAAATTTCTCTGAGCAGGGGTCACTGGGTGATCGAGATTTGCTAGGTTTGGTGACAGAATTAAGTTTCATTTTTTTTTGTTGATGATCCCAACACAACCTATAGCTATTTAATTTAGAGATTTTTCTTTCTTATGCAAATTTTGCTGCAGGAAAAACTGAAATTTAACATTGAGAAGGAAGGCTTCAAAAGAAGATCAGAAAAGTTTTTCAGAAAGTTATGAAAATGAAAAGAAGTCAACCATTTCTAAAATGACCAGGTTATTTGTTGATAAAGAACTTCTATAAACAACCAGGCCACATTTCAGTAGTCTTATTAAAATGCTTAGATCAAATAACACTGATCTTACAGGGGCTATGTATGGCTTAGAGTCAATGTGAGAGTGTTTTGGTTAAGATTGGTTGAATTCTTACCATGCCAAGGATTTAGTTGAATGATATTTGATGACACTAGGGACATAAGTTCCTAATTAAATTGAAATTTATTGATATGTCTAGTAGTTCCATTAAATGTTTTCGTACTTGGGGTCTCTTTTTTGGTATCTGAGAACATAGGATTCTTAGTGATTCAAGATAATATTGAAGTTGACCTGCACGAGTAGAAATTTGTTTTCTCATAACTATGATTTATTTTCTTTTAAGTACAATCTTTAACAAAGGTTCTTTAGTTTAAAATTAAAATAGTTCATCTTTTATTACCTTTTTCCTTTTTTTTTTTAAATTTAACTTTTTTAAAAGGGGGGGGGGGTTAATTCTAGCAGAGAGTCTTTTGTCAATCAATTAATAGCAACATGTAATGTCTTTTGTCAGTCAATTACTTATGTCAGTGATAAACAAAAACAAACAATTTTTTTCTCAAAAATTTTTTTCATGTCAAAATATTTTTGTTTAGAAAAATGCATTAAAATTATAAATGCAACATACAAACCAGCTGTCATTTCTTAAAACTGAGTGACACATGCTTAAATCTGTCAAATGGATTGGGCTTTATTTTTAAATTTGTGACATACTTTGTTAAAAGGGTCTTCCATGTAATATATTGGTACTTGTGGAATCTATTTCATAACAATTCCAATCCGGTATTGAATTCAAGAAAGCTGATTACATAAGGTTTATATTTATTAAAAGGGGTAATCTGGGTGGCATTTGGTGAGATAATTTCACTGGTCACATTAGCACTGACCGAAGAGTTTAGAGACCCAACTTTTCTATAGAACTTAAGCTAATCTGACCAATTCCTAAGTATTTTTGATTATACTCCAAAATTCTTATGAGATTAACATTAACTTCAATTAGCATGATTAGGGGTGGCCTTCCTTATGACCTAAAGTTGCTGTTTCATTCCAATGCTGACCAAACAAAATTTTTGAAAAATAAAATTTTAAATTCCTTAAATTATTCAGGCACTTGTTTTTGAAAATACAGTGTTAAGGTATGCAGATAAGGAAAGTCTTGGGCAGGCTGAGTTAAATATACTGACAGCTGACAATATAGCACTAGCATATTACATAACCTTGACTATATTGACCAAATACAAGGTTTACAGTTAGTATGTATTATGATATATAAGTATGTAATGGACATCAGGGAAGATTTATGAAGTGACAAGTTTAGGTTGTGGTTACTAGGACATACATCTTTGTGTGGTTGTTAGGACATGTCTTTGTGCAGTGTTGTGCAAGGTTACAAGAAAAATAGGTGTCCAAACACACATACTGTTCCTGGAAAACATATTTAGATCCACTCCTAAAATTGTTTTTGTATTTTTGAAGGGTTTTTATGGTTTTAACAGGTGCGGGGATTGTCTGATAATTTATGAGTAAAAGGTCATAAGGGTTGGCGGTAAATCTGTAACCTAAGGATATTTGTTTATGGTCCAAGGGTTTGCTGACCGGTGGAAAAGAGCCATAATTTGCACTGTCATGCCTATGTTTGAATGTCTAGGAACAACTCTACCTCATTATAGTCTTACACTCGTTAAAGCAAGATAACAAAAAGAAATGATGGTTGCAAATTCATGCATTTTTAATTTACAGTTATTTCAGATTACCTTGTTATATTTATACATTTATGTGAAGTAAAAGAGGTTTACCTACATGTCAAAGAGTTGGTGACAAAAAAAAAGTTGTTGACATTAAGTCATGTAGAAATAGAATACAGTTTTTGAAGGACAGTAGAATTTGTTATCCTGGGTAATTTTTTATTTGCAGAATAAATGCTGTTATAATCTAGAGTTACAGTTAGATTTTTAAGATATTGTAGGAAATGATAAAATTAGTTTTTTGTCTTGCTCTATATTATAAGCCCTGATTGAATGCTTTTTATGCACAGCTCATTAGAGCTGGTAGTAAACTGCTAGCATTGTTTGAGATTGTGAATTGATCTTTTCATTTTAAAGCAAGACCTTGCTGGCCTGAACTGTATCATCTTTGATGTTCCCTATTGAAGTTTTTTAAGCCATAGATAAAGACAGATTGCAGTTGATTTGTCATTATCTTATCCTTGTGGCTCCAGTTGGTATTATGATTTGGTCTTAGGTGGTTATTTGATAAGCATTGAAATGATTATTGCTTTTGTTTTAAGGGCCATTTGACCCAGAAAAAACAAGAATTTACGATAAATTGTAGTGTAAATAAATTTTGGTCAAGATATACCTGTATATTTCACACGGCTTAAGTGACCAGGTAGCAGGTATTGCATAAAAACAGGAAGTTGATTTGTTTTCTGTGACTGATATATATGTACCATATGTCAATATGAAGGTGTAAATTACGATACAAATTGCTCATAATTACAAAGAATTACAAAAATTGTGTAAATATTTGAATGAAAAGAAAACTTAAATATTCCCTGCTTTCAGTCAGGATGCAATGTTTCGTAGCTGAAATTGGCTTCAGAAAAATGCATTTTCTTTCATATGGTCCCAGAATCATTCTCATGACTTTGACATAGATGTAAATTGAAAGGTTGTCAAAAACTGCTAAGCTAGGAAAAGTGCAATAACATATGTTATAGATGCTAATCAGGGAATGATTCTCTCCAGGGAAATACCATCTGGTGAGGATCTTTCACATTGTTCTCTTTTTTTTCTGTTGCACATTCCTGCACTATTGTGAATACATGTTATCTTAAAAATCACACCTTTATCATTCTCATACGCCACATCCTCTCCAAGACAAATTTGGCAGCAGCAGTTTTCTCTTTCGTTTATAAATAACAAAGAAATAGTTTGACAGGTAAAATTTTGAGTAAAATCTTTAGCTCCTGGTATGCTTTCAATTAAAAATATAGATTTAGGAGATCTGCAGAGTAGAATTTTGTTCTCTAGACAATGAACTAGGAAACGGTGTTGCTGGTAGTGTATCTTTGTTCTGTTAACTACCATTATAACAAGCTGTCAATTTTCTGTAAAGATGATCCCAGGAAAGTGCCAGTTTTTGGAGAGGGTGAAATTGACAAGGAGAAGACCTATTATCACAGATATAGCATATTCCACTTCTTTCTGCAACATATTTAGGTTGGCAAGAAAAAGAGCTATCTGATGCAAAATTCTTGTATATGTGTTCAAAAAGCAGTGATTTTTGTTTGTTTGAACATCTTCAAGTGCGTTTTTGAGCATCTTTGTAACTGTGTTAAATGTGAGGAAATGTATGTTACTAGTTTTTCGTGCTCTTGCTAGCAGGAATGATTTTCTGACTCACAGTGAGTTTAGGAGAGTGTTCGGTTGGGATTAATTAGAGGTGATAATGAATGGCTACACATTAGTTTTACCATGATTTGGAGCAGGCATAATGTCCACTCTGAAAAAGTCTTTTTTGCAAAAATGCAAGGAGTTTATTGGATCTAGCAAAAAAGGTAAAATTGTTATGACCTCCTTTGGAAGAAAAAAAATTAATTTTTAGAAGCTTTGCTTCATCTATTCAAAAAAGTTCAAGCTATTATGTTGATAATGAAACAAAGATATTTTGTTTTTTATTTTGAGTCTACAATAATTATAATGACCCGATGTTTTAATTGTTTTAGCTCCCAGTCACAGATCTGAAGATGACACAGACTTTGCCAAACCATTGTCCACCAAGGTACCCCAGGCCAAGCGGGCGTCTTCCTCTGCATCCTCAACATCGGGGACCAGAAAAAGCATGCTCCCCGCCTCCAAGTCTGCCACAGGTGGGTTTTATATGATCAAATGCATTGATTGTTGTCATTTGCAAAAATTGCTATACATATGTTTAGTTACTATGGGCTTCTTACGATATCCCTCATGTAATATTTTATGGAGTTACTTGTTTCATGTGAAAAAAGTGTAACAAAGTGTTACTTAAGTGTTTGAACATAGGTAAAGGCCTTTAGTAATATTTGCTTTCAGCTACAGTTAGCATGTGCATTGTAAAAGCAAAAAGATGTGTTACTTTAAAAAAAAATTTTGTTGAAGCAACTTGAAAATATTTCTAAACATAGAATGTATTGTTGCATATGATGGAACATGGAGTAATAAAGTACTGTTAGAGGTCTAGCTGTATAGGTTCTGTACATACTAGTTCTATCATTGGTGCTAGTTATCTGACAGTTGTTTGGTTTTGGTTAAGATGACTAACTGTATTTTACTGATATTAGCCTCCACTTCCCTGAAGAGACGACGCTCGATTGCGGGCCCTCATACATCAGGTAACCGTGTCACTATTAGAGTTGCTTCCCAAAGTTGTCTTTCTGTACCAAATCATTAGCATTTATGGGAAGAAGAGGGGGGGGGGCTTGGAGGAATGGGATGCAGGGAGAATGGGAGGGGGGGGGGGTAATTTCTGAGATTTTCTTAGAATATGGGAGGCTGCTTGACATGTATTCGACCATAAAGATAATTTCACAATACATGTCTTGCATTATCTTTCACTTGAAGACAAGTTTCCTACTAGTATAATCCTGGTAACTTTAGCCTACAGTTGATGTTATTTTTCAGTGTTAAGGTTTGTCAACAGTGCTATAATCCTAGTGTTGTTATTCTGAGCTCCGTGTTTGTATGACAGTGGTGAAAGTTGTTACATTTTAACAACATCAGAAAGAGAGGATATTTACCTTCCAGGGGTAAACATACTTCATGTTCTAAAAAATTTTTGTCAGACTTCAGCAAATAAAAGGAGAAAGATCAATATTTGGAAATAGTTCAAATACTTCTGTTTTCTCACAAATATTGTTGTATTACAGGGAGGGGAGAGGGATATTGAGTTCATTTTCTGTGAGGAGTTGAGGTATATTTCCATATCTTGGCAGCTATTTTTGGTTTTGTTAAACTTGTTGGGTAAAATGAATATATAAGCTTGCTAGCCCCTGTGGAGACTTGTAATTACATCGTTATTTATGTGAGGCTTTAAATGTTGATTTTTTTTACAAGCTTCATCAGCTAAATTATAGGGTCTGTAGGAGATTTATGAGATCACTTGGACATTTGTCAATTTCTGATTTTGTGACCCCCCTGTGAAAGGACATGTCTGGGTAATTTTGGTACAGAAAGATAGCTCCCTTTCATTTTGCATGTTTCCAAAGTCAGAGAACCATTGTTGATTTCCCCTCAAAGACTGCATGCTGTAGTAGAGTTTCAAGATTGGGTAGCTTTGCTTCTACATGTCTACCTGATATTTGTATACATGTATATGTTTTCCTATCATCATGCCATCTAGATGTCTGTATTTAAAAGCACTGTAATTTTCAAATTTATCAGAATGAGAGAAAGGTTAATTCATCATTTCAATTTTTGAACGTTATTTCAAAATGCTTTCGGATGAAGAATTTCTAAAGTGACGTCTTAGAAATAAACAAAGATAATTTTGAATTAATATGATTTATATTATTAGTATGCTGTGTAAATTTCTGAAAGATGCATGTAGACATGGGACTAGGTGCAGTTTAAATTTTGTTCTGTATTCTGAAAAATAAGTGATTATTGACTTAGTACTAGTAATATACAGCCATTTGTATTTTGTTGCTATCGAATATCACATTACATTAATTTTAATTTTATGTATACCAAAATAAATCAAATTCATTTAAATGCATAAAGAAAATCATGCAACTTTTAAAGTTTGAAGTGTTTAGTTCTTAATTTTTTTAGCACTATTTATTTTTTGGGGCTCTACTATATGACAGTATATTGAGTATTAATTGTTAGAATTTTCAGTATTTCTTGGAAAATAGTTACCTTCATGAGTGGAATTTTCAATCATTTTTGCACTACACCTGGTACACATACCTTTCCAAGACATCGTTATATAATACTCAGTTGAATATGATATGTATTGTGTAAAATGTAAATATATGTAAATACTTTATTTATGCAGTACCTGTGTGGTATATGTGATAAATTGTCATTTTGATCAATGGGTCTACCTCCACCTCTTTTAATGATCTATGAATTCCCCATGAAATTATAAAAAAAAAAAAAAAAAAAAAAAAAAAGGAAATGAGTCTGTTCATATTATACAGTATCAGGAATGTAGTGATTTGTTTATACTGGAACAAAGAAGGTCACCTTGCATGCTACATTTCCCAGAAATTTTTGCGCTATGTGTCACTATTTGTTGACGTTAAGGATTTTTGATTTTTCAAAACTGATTCTTCATCTTCTTAGTTCACCTGAGCCAAAAACTCACAAGAAGATTCTTATCAATTTTTTTTTTAATGTGCCTTTATGTCGACCTCTTCTTTTTATTTTAAACAAAATAGATGTGTGCATAGTCAGTGCAGTTGGCAACAAAACTGTATACAGCTCTCATTTAACTCATGATTTCTTTTTTTTTCTCAAATAAATTTTTACTCCATCTCCACTTCACTGTTTATTGGGTTTTTTTTTTTTTGTAACTAATCATTATGTGATGTTATTTTATTTCAGTGTTATTTTCAAAGTTTTATTAAATTTCTGAAGAAAAAAAATACATTGACAAAAAAATCTGTTCACAGTAAAAATGTAGTGATTTTCTTTATGTAGTGAAAAATCAGGGTTCAAGGCCAAAATAGCACCTGATTGTCAGAGGTATTGCTTCCCAAGAATTGATTGACATTATTCAAACATGTGATCATCACATGCATGGAATAGTCAAATGTTAATCATTTTTATTTCCTCAATAGAATGGTATTGCAACAGCAACAAAGAAAATATATATTTGAAGAAATTAAAATTGTGCCTTATTGAGTGCCCCTTCCTCTTGTAATTAAGTTCATTTTGTTAATGAATTCAGGTGATTGTTGAGGCCCATGGGCCTTCTGCTTTAATGAATGAATGTTGTGTTACTCTTATGTTGTGTTTTTTTCTGTGTGAAATAGAATTAATAGACATTGTGTTCTGTTTTTGATTTAAGTGTGTTATGAAGGAGCTTTTTTTTTTCATAAGAGAAAAACAGGTTGTACACTATAGCTTCTGCACCTGTTAGCACTTGCACTCAACAATGTGCAGCATTTTATTTAAGCCACCACACCAAATACAGTTTTTCAAAAGAACACATTTGGTAAACATTTTTAATGAAACTATAAATGTTGAGGTTTGAAGTTGCTTGGCATTAATTGACTATCAAATTGTACAGATTTTTTTGTCAGTATGAACATTTTTATCAATTTTGTTCACTATAACCACTTAAATACTTCGTGCTTTCAGCAATATTCCACTACAGCAGGATTGAAACATCATTGATCAGTTGATTACTGTTATTTACTTTGTTTTGTAGGCCAGTCTGGTGGTGTAGATGAAGAATTTTTTACTAAATCCTTTGAAGATGTTCCAAAAGTCCAGGTACCTAAAGAATTCCAAAGCTTGGAGTGATGCAAATTAAATAAACTCACAGAATCACAGACAGAAAAGTGACTCAAATATATGAAGATTTCATAATTACATAAAAAATAGATACCCATAGTACAGAATAAGCTACTTGAAGTAGATGTTTGTCAGTATTTCTCTCTTTTACAGATCTATTCATCCAGAGATGTACAAGACCAGCTCGCTAAAGCTCAAGCCATTTTAAGTGATCTTAACACAAATTGGGAGAAACGCCATGAAGCAGTAAGCTTAAAAACAGGAGAAATAACTCCTATTTCCTTACAGAAATGTTATGTAGATTTTTACATGTGGTTGAATGGGAGTGTAAAATATGAAACTTAAAACACCCATAGTTGCGAAGCGTTTTCAAACAATCAAAAATAATGTAATAAATTTCAGTTAAGAAACATTCGAGCTGTGGTCGTAGCTGGTGGTATGGAGTACGATGATTTCCCACAAAGCATTAGATCCCTGGATGTGTGCCTGATAAATGCCGTCAAAGATCTGAGGTCCCAGATCGTCCGCGAGGCTTGCATAACACTAGCGTAAGGAAGATTTTGTAATGCTAGACTGGAGTTCAAGAACTTATAGTGGGAGATGATTTGCCATCTTTTTATTGAATTGAGCAGTAGAAATAAATTCACATATGTGTAGGAATCTGAAATTGGGGGGAGGGGGGGGGGTAATCAGTTATAGACATGTAGTAAATACAGTAAAACTTTTCTAATCTAGACACCACTGGTTCCAAAGAAATTGGCCAGATTAGACAACATTTTAACAACAATTAAATGTATTGAAGGGGAATTAAATTTTGAACATTGTAGATTTTGTAATACACAACATCCAGATTAGACAAGTTTCACTGTACATGTATAAGTAGTGCATCTTGTGAGGTATAGCAAGTTAATGCTTTTGTTGTGTTCTGTAGATATTTGTCTCAGCAGATGGGTTTGAGGTTTGAGCATCTGGCTGAAGTCCTTCTTCCACACTTAATAAACCTCATCCCTAACAGTGCCAAGGTCATGGCATCATCTGGAATCACCTGTATACAATTCATCATTCAGGTAACCATCATCAGTACTAAGTAGAAATCGTCTGGCTTTGATTTTTTTCATTTAGAACTGAGTTACGATTTTTTCTCTTTTGGGGGGGGGGGGGGTGCTTACTGGTATTGAGGATGTTGAAACTGTTAATTGTTTTGTTCTTAATACATAATTGTATTCGTGTAAATAATCAGAATTAAAATTTTACGGACAAAGTTAATGAACTTTTTGAGATAATCTCAATTTCAGTATACCCAGTCACCTCGCCTTATACCCATCATCACCACTAACTTAACATCTAAGTCCAATATCATACGAAGGTAAGTATAACATCTGTTTGGATTGGTCTAAAGAAAATGTTTAAGTGTCTTTCATACTCTCCTTTGACAAATAATGATAGTACAGTTTTCTGGGGTTACTTGTTGGAGTATCGAAAGCATCAAATTATTATCTGTATGTCTTAAATCTTTATCTTGTAAAACAGTACATGACCAGGTTGAATGTGAGCTATTTTGATGTTAATAAATGGTTACTTTTGGGAGAGTTTAATAAAGCTGCAAATGTGGGGGTGGGTATGATAAGGCAACACACCAATGTTAGGGGCCTGCAGATCCATATGACATTACAATTAGCAATATGAAGTTGATATTGAAATAAGCATTTCCAAAATATCTATCTTATTCATAGGTACATGTATTTATTCAAACATTTTGCATACTTACAGAAGAATATTATGTGACAATTTGTGAGCACAATCATTGGCAATGTCCTTATAAAAACTGTAATTCTTGTAAAGTGAATTCATTATGTTCATAATGGTTTGCCTTAACTTTTCTGCATGATATGGAATCTCTTGTACAATATAGGACAAATGAACACTTGAGTTATTTTATTCTCTAATACCTGTAGAACACAAAACCAGGAACATTGCAGATATACATTTATGTACTTGTAGGTAAATCAAGATTTTCTTCTTTTCAGGCAATGTTATGAATTCTTACACATAGCACTACAAAACTGGAGTACACATTCTTTAGAGAAACACATAGCACTTCTACAGGACTCCATCAAGAGAGGAATCTCGGATGCCGATTCTGAAGCCAGGCTGTATGCACGCAGGTAAATAATTCTAGTATAGTTACATTTATACTCAAACAAAGGCATGAGTCTTGACTTCAATTTTGGTTGCTGCTCAGAAAAAAAAATTGTCTTATTTGAGAACTAGATTCAACTTTTTAATTAATTTCATTTGATTTTATGATGCTACAAGTACATCCAGAAAAATATTATAATTTTAAATTCTTAGTGATATTTTTGATATATCATGTTCTATTTCCACTATTTCAGGTCTTACTGGGGATTTGCAGATCACTTCAAAGAACAGGCAGCCATGTTAATGCACTCTTTAGAGCCCAGAGAACAAAAACTTTTACATGATCAGTGTAGTGGTTCATCTAGTAATTCAGTAAATAGTGATTACGCAGGAAAGCCCCGCCCCCGATCTGCCAGCCAGGACAGAAGTACCGGATTCGATTCAAGTACATTAGGGTGAGTTTTTGAACACCTTTATGGTTTTAAAATGAAAAATGACAGATTTAATTGGTCATTAAAAATGCACAAATTCTTAACAATTTTTTCAAATATTTTTAGCTGGTGTTCATTTGAGAGAATGTTTAAAAGTTTTTAACAATGCTACCTAGCTAAATGATTTTCATGATTGTTTCACATTGGAAACGTTTTTGAATATTGTATTAAAAATAAAATTTTTGTGTGTTTTTTCAGTCGTATAGGAAAAAAGAAACATTCTCAATTCAGCTCAGCTCGCAGTGATACAGGTGCAGGTATGTTTACTTTCTTTTCAAGGTTAAAAGGGAAATAACTCCAAATATTGTAATGGTATTCATATTGGAAGCAAACTCCATTTGAAGTCCATGTATTTTTACTGGAATAAATTTTGAAAAGAAACATGGTATAACTCTGGTTTACTTGTTACCTTGCAGAAATTAGATCTCATTCTCTTAAATTTTCAAAAGGTAAATTCCCTCTGCATGCCTTTTTAGATGTAGAATGTGTCGACGAAGTTGGTATGATGACTGTCTACTTAGGTCATGGTCATTGATGTTGTGATTTTTTTGCAAAGACAATTTTGGGAATACATATGTTGAAACACTAAAGGAGAGTGGAAATGTATAGAAAAATAAAGCACAAAAAACAAAAAATGGATATGAGTATTTTATTTTTGAGAGAGATTGCTGTTCCAGTAATTAGATTATAAGTAAAAAATGCATGTCATTCATTTTCACTGCCTGGTATGTTTCATTTGAAGAAAATTTTGCATGGATAGTTTCTTTCAGATTGCTGATAACATTTTTTTTTAAATTGTAAATAGGACTTCATTGAAACTTTGATAGATTTGAGGTTGTCGGTTTACTCAGAGTGATTTGATTTATTTTCTTGTCTAATTTTTAATTAGATTTTTTTTTACTTTAAATTTCATTACATTTTTAAGATGATATATATAAGGATAGCTCAAAACTTTCTTAAATCACATATACACTTGTACTTCAGAAGCAAAACAAAAGAAAACTTTTAAAAAGGTGAAAAAATGTAATGAAATAAAAAAGGCAATCTTTTCCACCACTGATTGTTGTGAACACTTTATTTTGGCATGATTTGATTTTATTTTTGTCTCACATCCAGACTTGGATGTTGATGGTGCTGCACGTCACCATGGTGCAGGTAAGACAGTCACATGACCTGTCATATGGGGTATCATGTGACATAGAAGCGCTGCTTGTCACATTGTGTGAAGTGTTGTGGGGTTTTAGTACTAGATGGTCAAGGGGCAGTTACTTGCACTTTAGAAGTGTGTATATGAATAATGCATAATAGAAGCACTATTTTGACACAACTAGAGGCACATTTTTATTATCTGTTGTAAAATCATTATTTAAATAAAAAAAAAAAATCTTGTACTCTTACGGTGTAGGTGTAAGACTTGGTACCAAAATCTCAAAAAAATATAATTTTTTTGTTTTAATTTTTTTTTTTAATTTCCTTGTAGTTTTTTATTTTACTTCTTAATTTATAAAATGTTAATGATTTCAGAAAATTAGTTACAAAGTATTAGTATTTGGAGGAAAAATTTGGAGGAAAATTTAGAAAAAATGTTTGTAGTAAGATAGGGAAAAAAAACTTTCAGTACATGAATTTACAAAATCAATGCTAGACAAAATAAAGTAGCTTGATGTTTAATCACCTTGTATTAATATTGGTTGAAATCTTTACACACTAAAAATAATTACTTAATGGATTCAGTAATGTAATGGTACTAAGATTTGGAATAGATATTGGGTAAAACTTCTGCATGATTTATTTAATAATTAATATGCAAAGCAAATGTAAATATTCATGTAGTATATATATATAATTATACATGTATATATATAAGTTTAGTTTATTTCTCATCTGTGTCAGTATTGTCAATGTTTCTTGAGTTGCTTTCATGACCTCTTGCAGATTTAGACAAAACTTTAAGTAAGTCAGTAAAAGACCGCATTATCCGCTCTAGTAGTGCCGTCGATCTCGCAAATGGGATGAGCCCATCGTATTCCAGTTACTCCACCCAGAAACGGCGGTCGCCACAAATGGCGGCTGCCGCTAGAATGACGCCAGGAGCCACATACTCATTGCGTAAGAACTCTGTGTGTTCTGTCTCTAGCTCTAGGTGTTTCATGGCTGTCAGTCATTCCAAAAAGGGGTGTGTCTTTTGTCACCTGCATGTCATGGGTGGGATCATTTCAGCTCATTTTGCATTAAAGGGTGATTCTATCACGCATGCTTCAGGGGGAAAAAAGAGGAGCAATAAAGAGAGATAAGAGGAATTAGTGATTTGCATGGAGAGTGATCCTCTCAGAGCTCATCAGATGCCCTGCATGGTTCCTCACGTTGAAATAAAAATCTGTCAGGGTTAATTTTGTACATTGTGAACATCACCTATTGTAGGTCAGTTTCCAAGCACACTATGTAGTAGTAAACAGCACAGTTTTCTTTATTATTCGAAACTCTAAATGGGAAAGTATTAATGATTGCTACAAGCATTTAAAGGACAATCTTCGATTATTTCAAATTCCTTATTATTACAAAATCAACATTTCAAGAGACCCTTTTTTTTTTAAATTATAAAATGGAAAAATAATGGAATGACACAAGAACATGATTCATCATATTTGCGTAGAGCTTTAACAACTTTTTCTTCATAATCAGATGAAAGTTCATCAAAAAAGATATATATACTTTGAAGTATGTGTAAACAGGATCAAACAATTAAAAATCAATATAACTCTGCTGAAGAGTGTAGTTAAAAATTGATATGAGATTTTTATTTACTTGGATGTAAAATCAAATTTAATATTTACTCTAGTGTCCAATATACCAGTATTTCATTTTGCTAATTGAAATCAGTATTTGCCAATGTTAATGGAACTTTTACCTACTTATATTTGTAAGATACACATGCAATTATTTCAAAAACAAAAAATTCAATGGGAGAAGTCATTGTGAGGCAAAAGCTATATAAGCAGATTAAAAGCTTAGTAAATATTGCTGAACACTAATCAGAAAAAAAGGAGAAGAGGACTGTTGTTGGTTGACATATAAATTAGTAATGGTCTAGCAGTTCAAGTTGTGTGTCTATCGTCCTGTTGTTGCATTTTTTGTGGGGGGAAAAGTGTGAATTGGACATAAATGTCAATTTAGCAGTGGGCCCATGCAAGGGAAACCTCAATAGATCCTTGGATGCAAAAAAAGTTTTGTTTTCTATTGTGAAGAAAAAGTATACTCCAAATAAGATGTGTACATTTGTTGGAAATATCTTTGGAGTAGATATTATTTGAAAGTTGAGAGAATAGTTTAAGCATCTGCAGCTACAAAAGGTGTGTAGTACTAGCTTGACATGCTGTGTTATTAACATGTCCAGAGCAAGGTCATTGGTGTGGACAAGATAACACAGGTAGTAAAAATAGTGATGGTTCTTGATTAAGGCAAAGCTCTGTGTATTGTCGGAGATTAAAGAGATTAGCACGGATTAAATCCTGGAGTCAGTGTCCTGTGATCCAGAGAAAACACTAAGTGGACATTATTGAGAAGGATTAAGGAATTCCCTGTCTTTGGTGGAAATCCTGAAGGCATGGGGTATGAGTGTACAAGGATGGACAAGATTGTGCCTGGATTTGTGTTTTCCTGGAGAACTCTGTATTGAGTCATCATTTTAGACGGGGATAAAATGAAATTGTTCAGTGTACCGTAGGATGAACTTAAGTTATTAAAAGAAAATAATCTTATTTGTTCTATTGTGGTTTTTGACATGGTGCAAGCAATATGGATATGTAGTAGACACAAGTATGAAGACTTATAGAATTTGTCTGAACATGAAAAGAATTTCCATACACAGAAAAATATAATTGGAAATGAATTGTTGAAATACAAGGGACATTAGAATAGAGTGGAGAAAATATAAGCAAATCTTCAAGATGTGAAAAACATGGGATCTTGTTATCATAAAAAACAGGTCCGATTTGCAGTGTTTCCTTATGTGGTAGAAATCCCTCCTCGAGAATGTGCGTGGGAGGAGGAGGAGGAAGAAGAGGGGTTCTTTTCTGGAGAAGATGAGGAGGTAGAAGATTTTGTGGAACCTGTCACGGGTAATTTGGTCAATTCTGAAGTATCTTTTCTAAGGATGGTTAGAAATAGTTTTTTTTTGTTGGATTTTGGGAAATTTTGAGTTTTTGCTACAGTATCACAAAAAAGTCTGATATCTTCCAGAACATATTTGAGTTTATTTAAGCTTCTCTGGACCTTTGCACAATAATTGTTTGATGGTTTAACATTTGAGGTACAATGAAGGTTTATAACTTGCTATGGGACATTGTGGGGCCCACATCATATCATCATCATCATTCATATCCATTGTGTGTTGGGGGGATGATTCATGACATCATTTATTTACACCTTCAGACAGCCAACTTGTTTACTTGGGGGCAATAGAAGGTCTAAGGTTAAAGGTTAATAAGGTCATTTTACACTTGATGCCTATTGGCCATTGTCAGTTGGATACACCAAAAATTGTAAGATACGTTTAAAACAGATTGTGCACTGATTCAGAAGTATGTTTTGTGAAGAATGATCGAGTTATGTTTTGTCTACAAAGTCTGCTTGGCTTTGTTAACCATTTTCTTACATGTAATCAGAGCATGAACTAACATTGTCTTATGTTATCAGAATGCTTGGTGTGTGTCTATAATTTTGTAATGTTGAAACCCATGGTGAAAACCCATATCAGATGGATGCTTTATTCTTTACATTATATGACAGGTTTATGAGCAAAACACTTTCATAAAAGATATTTAATGTATTGATAATATAGGTGCATTTGGTATGATGCCAAACAATCATTATAAGCATGTCAATGCAAAAATGTCAAATTCATATCTTCTTCGTAGCATGACAATATAAATAATGAATATAATTCTCTATAAATATGATAGTAAAAATCAGTCACGTTCCATTGCTTTAGTTGACTTCTGTTGTTTAGTACATTTGTACTTGAGGGATCATGGCTGACCACATTGCCTCTCCCTTCCTCTCTCTATTGTATGGCTGTGTCATAGTGGTGCAACTTGCTTGTTACTTTCAGCACGACATCGCAGTAGCTCAACTCATCAAAATCTCGGCACCTTGGACCGTAATAGTCGACCCCGCAACAAAAATGGTAGCTCCTTATCTCAGCGTAAGTATGACAACAAGAGTTATCTCCCTTCTTGAACTCTCCCTCCGTTTTCCACTGTTGATGAACAGAAGATGAATGTAATACTGTATACTAATCTTTGATTCCAACTAGAATATTCAACTAACCATTAACAATGAGAGATATGTAAAATTACTTACTATTTAGAGAAAGTTTTGAGCCATGTCGGTTAGGAGTGCTATAACCGTTATTGAGCTTTAATCTCAGTCAGCTTTGCTTTTACGAGTTTTTGTGCTCTGGCTAGAAAAACACATACAGCTTGAATGCTTATTTGAGATATTTTCTCATAATTCATCCATTTTTTCCTTCAGTCCTCATTTGTGATTTATTTTGTGATTTAATTCGCAAGCATGATTTTATTTGTGAAGTTATGTGCCAAGAGTACCGGTATTCACTTCCAGGGTACTGAGCTACAAATTAAAGCCCAAACCTTTAGGAAAGTTATTTCACATGACTTAATATTTCTTTGCAGCCAATAGTAGGTCAAACTCGCCAACTTCAAGAATCAGTTACCTGACGCACAACCAGAAAGATCCAATGACCCCAAGGTCACAGAGAAGGTCAGGGGTCACACGTAGTCAGGGGGCCAGCAGAGAGGGTAGTCCAAATCGCCTTCATATGCAGCCAGGTACATATATTTTCAATTTAAGTTGAATTCAGGAAGTTGGGGGGAAAGTGATTATGATATAAAGTTGGTTACAATATTGTTAACACAGTAAAACATGCTTATAGCGAAGTGCCAAGGACCAACAATTTTGATTCATTGTAAATGTAATTCATTATACCCGTTAAGTTTACAACATGTTTTAAATCCACAGGGAAAGAAAATCACTTCACTGATAGCATAAATTCATTATAAGCATGTTTGCTATAACCATGTTTTACTGTATTCTTTATAGTAAGAGATTGGGGAGCATAATGTGATTCCCCCCCCCAATTGTATGTTGCATGTATGGTATAGTTTATTCTTTTGTCAGTCATGAATAGATAAAGCAAAATGCATTTTAGTTTTTGAAATTCTTATTTCTTGTAAATATTATAGGCAGAGAAAGAAGACCCAGTGGAGGCAAGACTCTGCCACATTCTGCTTCAAAGAAGAGAGCAGGGGTGATGGCTCAGCGCACCCTCCGGATAGGTTCTGATGTAGAGGATGCTCTTTCAGATGCCCTGGTAAATGGCTGACTTCAGACCATAATGAGTCTAGAGTTGAACATTGCTTTACTAAACAAAATGCTAAATGATTTCTGGATAATTTTTTTTTGTCATATTTACTATTAATGTATTGGGGAGAAATTAAAATTTTGTTTCAGAAAGAAACACATGTATTGTTAAAATATTGGTACTTTAATTAATAAGTATTGAAATAGTTTTTATAAGGTTTATTATTAAAACTCTTGGTACAAGAAACAACAATTTTTGAAATGTGAAATGACATTTTTGGTACAGCTATATGGGCATTTTATGCATTTCTGTTTGTCAATTCCTCTTCATATAGACGAGAGGACCGAGTAGGCGGCGATGTGAGTATGACTCGGATGATGCAGCCAGTGAAACATCCAGTGTCTGCTCAGAGAGGTCATACAGGTCAATAGGTCAAACGTCAGAGGTGAGTAGGTCATTGAATTTGAAAAGTTTACAAGTTAAGATAATTTTAGTCTTATTATCACTCATGTATTTCTTTTTCAAAAGTGAAAGAAAATATTGAAACAAAATACGCAATGTATAGTGAATATGTTTTTTATAGATGACATGCAACCATCATTTCTATAGCATTTTCTTTTAAGTTTTTCACAGTTGTTGCATTTTTTTGTTGTCTTATATGATCATTGGGTCAGAATACTTAGACCAGGGCTAAAAGATGTCCCTGTCAGTTCCATGAATGTAATTTTCATTTTCTCTTGAGCAACATTTTCTCATCTGGTCCTTTTCAGTATTATTTATGGGGATGCCAGGTATTAGCACTCAAGATGGCATGGCACACATGTTGAAAAACAGACCATATGTTTTACACTATTAACTTTTGTGTGTGACTGTGTGCAGTAACCTAACTAAAGGTGGACATATATTAAAAAATGTATTAACACAAGAGCAGAGGGAGGGGCAAAGGGAGTAAGGGTGTGCTTTTTGAGAGATAATGTACGTTACATTTGGAATTTTAATTAACACCAGAGGAGAGGGTGGGGCAAATGGAATTGGGATTTGCTTTTGAGAGATATTGCAAATTTGAGATTTAAGGAAAAAATAATCAGAGAAACAAAAGAGTCATAGGAATTATTTTCCATGTGAGAGGAAATTTTGTTTCTTTGAAAGATTTACCTTTAGTGAATTAAAAGTATTTTATACAGAGTCGGTTCAAAAGAAAAATTAGAACTCAGGTAAAATTTAAATAAAAAAAACTTCTTATCCTAAAAATTTACTCTAGATCTACTCCTCCTACCTATTTTATGAGTATTGAGGCTGAGAATTTCCACTTTTTCCTTAAGCATGGTTTTCAGGGGTTATCTCCCCCAGACTTACAGGTTATAGGCATGTTTTACACCACCCAGCCACTTCTAAAATATCACAGCATGGAATTTCAACCCTCAATTTTTGTAAAGCCTTCAGTGAAGCACTTTCAATCTAACACCATGAATTTCTTTTATCCATCTGTTTTGTCCTCAAGTTCCATTTAGTTTTTCAGTCAAATCTTTGGTTGCATTTGTGTCGGTCAGTTTTTACATTTAATTTCATTTCATTGGATTTGTTGAAAATATGGCTTTTGATTGGCTTTTTTCTTCTGCTGCTAAAGGCCTCGTCAACTGATTTTGATAAATGGTATTATCGTCTGCCAACCCCAACACAGGTATTACATACCCTAGGCAATCAACCTGATGTCATGCTGCAGTAGTGCTCACTTTGATTTTCTTGTATTCTCCAGAAAAAAACTGCATTGTGAATTCTTATTATTATTATTATTATTATTCACAATGATAACTTTATACTTTTTGTATTATCTTAATTTAATTTTGCATCTTCATTCAAAATAAGAAGTCATGATTAGCATGTAAATTTTATTTTATTGTGAACAAAAAGATATTTCAGAGCTAATTTATAGAAGCTTGTAGTTTTGCTGTAATGTTCGTCATATTTGTACACTTGTTTTTAATTTTTATTTTTTTTATTTTTGGCCCATATTATTATTTTTTGGTTCTAGTCCAAGACATTATAATTGCACATATATTGGAGAAAACATTCTTTTTTCTCCATCTGTGCAAGCTAGGACAAGTTTCCCTAAGACAGTGTTAGGAGCAGTTTAGTTTGCATGATTTTGAGTATTATAATGAATGATGTGATTTTTTGGTTAGTCTACGAGTAAGGACTCAATCTGTTCACCTCCTGTGTTGGAGAGTGCTAAGGTTTCCAAGGTAACACTTCCTCTTTTATAAAGATTTGCTCTGACAGCTGGTTTATTTCAGCTTTTTGTATTAAAATTTTTTTGGCAAACTTTCAGTGTTAAGCTTTTTGAAAGTGATTTTTTGCTTTAAATAATTTTTATGTATTATTCAGATTTTTGATTTAAAAAAGGAGTTTTTTGCCCTTGTAAAATAATTTGAAATATTAATAGGGTTAGATTTGTGTGTAATATATTTTGGAAGTAAGCGTTAAAGATTTCTTTAAAAATGAGATTTGTGATCACAACTAGAAATTCGTTTGAATTTTGTGCATTTCTTGTTTTGGTATTTATAGTGTTTTCATATTGTTGTGTGTTTGTCATATTTTGTTCTTGCACAATTACAGTTTTCTTTGGTTTTAGGAGTTCTGGAGAATAATAAATGCTTTGATAACCATATTTTGCATGAGACAGATTCTTGTATCCAAAAAAATTATCCATTTAAGTTCACACATTAATATCACTTTATATTAGGAAATAATTTTTTTTTCAAGTGTTGCACAAATTGATAGGAGGAATAAAAGAAAATTTGAGCTATGATTAAATAATTTTGGATAAATTGTCATACTCTGTGAATAATAATTGTAACTGAATTATTAGGAAATCAAGTGATTTATCAACTACACAAACATTTTAAAGACAGAGAACATAAACATTTTGAAGACAAAGAACAGTCATGTTTTTTTTTCCATTTCCTAAGTCTGTTTCATTGTTATTTAGGATACAACAGAAATAATTGCCCTGCTAGGTAGTGGTTCCCATGGTGATCGAAAGGAGGGACTCATAGCATTACAAAATCTCCTAAGGAGTGGACGGTTTTTAAGGTAACCATTTCAGATCTGCCAATATAAAGCACAAGAATTCTCAAGATGCTGCTACATTCATGTCTATGTAATTGAATTAGACAAAAATCATCATTGGTATTATATAAAATTTCATCTGCTTGAGCTGTCTAAAGATAGGATTCAGCAGTGAAATTTTCACTTGAGATGCTAAAATGAATTTTGTATCAATTCTCGGATCTTGAACACAGTTTGAGAGATAGACAGGTTTTTGTATAGCTTCTCTTTTTTTTTCAGTCGTGTAGAATTGCAGAAAGTATGCGAAGTTTTTAATAGAATGTTTCATGATCCACAGAGCAAAGTAAGTTATTTGGCAGTATGATACACACATGTATGTCCTTTATTTTTAATGTCTGATTTTGATATTCAGTTAAGGAAAAGGTTTTTCTTTTTAAATGTAAAAAAGAGAGAATGTAGTTATCAGCTATAGTAATAATATATGCATGGATATTTTTGCCTCAGTTGTATTTTTTTGCCCTTTCACACAAACTATTTTGCCGCTTTTCTAAATTTGCCCAGACACAGTTGTGTTTATAGAGGTATAACTCTGTTGTTGTTGAATTTGCCCTGTTTTGAATTCACCCACTGAAGACAAGGGTGAAAGGGCAAAAATAAAAAAGGAGCAAAAATTGTCCTGTTTTATACAGTATTGCATAGCACCTGAATTAACATAAAATTGAAATCTTGGAACAATATGAAATGAGAAAATAAAATAGTTTTTTCTTTCCTTTGCAGGTTTTAAGTTTATTTTTAGATACATTAGTTGAATTAATTCAAGTTCACAGCCAAGACTTGACCAATCAAATGTTTCCATTTTTAACTCGATTACTGAACAAATCTGGCACGGACATGTTGGGCTCAGTCCAGAACCGTGTACAGAGGGCACTGGATGCCATCAGGTAAGTCATAGGAGTGTTTTGGATTGGTTGGGTTATCTAACATCGAGGATATAAAGATTAATTCCTATGGTGCCTTATAAAATTTGAACAGCACCTTTACACATGTACGTGTAAATGTATTAATAAAATACAGCTAGCTGTCTCACATATTCAGAGGCAAATTAAAAACATTGAAATGTATTTAGAATTAAAATGACTAAGACTGTTTTTATTTTCAGGGAAAACTTTCCAGCAGAACAACAGTTTAATGCTTTGTCAAAGTATATCATAGATCAGACACAATCAGCAAGTCTAAAGGTGTGTACAGATATTTAATATTAACTCTCATGTCATCATATTTTCATGAATTTTTTATTCTGCATTATCATTTTTAACTTTTTATTATCATTTTTAACTTTTTATATACATACTCATACCCACATTAATAATTTCAATTCATAAAGTTAACTATAAATATAATGTACTAGAATGTATTCATATAGTATTGAAAGTTGTGCATTAACTGTGCATTATTTTAAATGTGATGTTTACTTTTTGTTCGCTTGGAGAATGTTGGAATGGAATTCGAATGTTAAGATTTTTCTATCAATTTTGGAAGAATCTTGTCTTTGATTAATTTTCTTTTTTCATTAATTTTTGCCAACTTAGCCTAAGGTAACTTTTCATTTTTATTTCCTTCTTGTCTATATGTAAGTCCCAGTGTGCTTAAAAGACTAGTGAATTTGAAACCAGTTTGACTCCATTAATATGTCATCATTTGATTTTGTGGGAACTGTTTTAAAGATGCTGAAATTTGTGTAGAAATTTGCTCAAAATACATGTACAAAATGAGAATGTCATTTTTAAAGTAGACCTAAAGTTAATGTATTTTTATTAGATAAATTTGATAGAAAACAGTCTTTAAGTAGTAGAGTATTTTCATTAGAAAATTTTAAACACTCTTTCAGTGGTGAAAGCAACTCTAACTGAGCTAGCATGAATGGTGTATGGAGAAAAAAGTTACTAATTTTTTTTTTTTCCCAAAAATGTTATTTTGTTCTTTGATAATATTGATTTACTTGATTTTGTCAATTGGGTCTAGGTTTATAGTTATTTGCAGGAAAAAGTAAATATCTAAGTTGTGCTTCAGTGTTTTACAGATACAAGTTGTATTTAAAATGAATAAATTATTTGTATCTGAAGTTCTTGAGAATTAAATAGAACACAACTTTATTTCTAAAAATGGCTAATAGTGTTTGCAAAATTTGCTTCAATATGTCTTACTTTAATATTGTAAATGTAATTTTCACTGCTTGCCCTTTGCCTTTGTTCATTGCACATTGTCTTAAATTGCTTCACTTATGCCTTAAATATGTAAACATACCAGCAGTATTTCTGCAATATGAGAAAACACTAAGCCATATTCCAGAAACTTTTATTTTTTATCATCATAGTACATTATCATAATTGAAATTGCATTATGGCTGTGCAATGATTTGTTATCATTTTGAAAATTTTGAGTAGGCTAGACTTTTATGTTTCCTGAATATTGTAATGATGTATATGTGCGTTTCTACTAGACAAAGTGTATTTGTATGAATTGTTGCTTATCAACATAATTTATTATAAATGTGTCACGGTGGTGATGCAAGATCAAGTTTCAAATATTATTTCCCCTTTTCAGGTGAAGGCCTCTCTATTGAACTACATGCATAATCTTGTCTTAATGATGAATGATACAGACTTTGTTAATTCCGCTGACACACGACTCGTTCTGTCACGCATCATCAACTTCACCACTGAACCCAAAAGTGTGGAAGTTAGGAAGGCAAGTTTTGTTTTACTCAAGACAATTTAGTAATAAATTTGAACTAATTTAAACATTTGTTATTGATTTGGGTTATCCAGAGTTTGACAATCCATTATTCGAACATTTGTTATTGATTTGGGTTATCCAGAGTTTGACAATCCATTATTCGCTGTATTTGAAGATGAAGATGTAAATTTATGATTTTAAATTTTTAATATGTGTATTTAACAAAAATCCTTAATTTAAGAGATGTTTGAAAAGAGAGTGACATGTCAGCCTCTCTCTCAAATGTGTCCTAATGTTTTACTCATTATGGTATTTAATTTTAGGCTGCTCAGTTAGTGTTGATAGACTTATTTAATCTGAATGCCCCCGAGCTGTCCATGATGTTAACGAATCTTCCTAAACCATTCCAAGACAGTGCCACCAAGATCTTACAGACTCACGTGAGGAGTGCTAGTCGAGACAGCCGTGATAGCGAAGTGCTGTCCCCCAAAAATGTCACCCCCCAGCAGAATAGGAGTCGTCCTCCATCTAGGTAGGTGTCATCTTTTCTTTTGTACTTTTCAGTGTATGTTATACAGTAAACTTCTTTTATAATGTACTCGGTTATAAAGTATCTTCGGATGTAAAGTAGCCATTCCGTAGTCCCAGCAAAGCATCTATATATTTCATTGGAAAAAACACTGCATACAACGTATTTGTATATAACGTAGTATCGCTTATAAAGTATTAGAAATTTGGTCCCATTACATAATTACACCTCTTGTAACGTATTCTGACACCTGGTTCACACCTTTTTTATCACCTCAGTGCCTGCGGATTAGTCACGGTTTGTTGACTTCATAACTTCTCCGTAATGGGTGTTTTTCTAACGAGGGTTCTTTTTTGTTTCAGGTAGATGTATCTATAATAAATTGTTTGAATAAAGTTCATAGAGTAGATGTATTCATAATAAATTGTTTGAATAAAAGATCATCTTTGAGTCAGAAAATAGCAATATAACCGAAAATGATATAATTAAACTAGTGAAAGAAAAACACGGTGATTCAATATCAGTAAACCGCGAGGACGACGAGGCCTCGCTGACACATGCATACAATCTACCCAGACGATCAAAGGGCATTATTCCAAAGTTTTCACAACTGGAGACTTTAGTAAATAAATGTCGTCAGGGCAAACAGACAAATATTACGGACTTTTTATATGATCTGACGATCAATAAATAAAATGTTACTGAATATTACTCTTTCTTAATATAAGAAACGAAATATACTTGTAAATCATTTACAATCTATACATACTTTAAAATATTACATGTAATAACACAGTAATGTTTGAAAACTGTTTACGGTAAAGGTGTACTGAGTACTTCCGGTCTCCGTTTATAATGTACACCGGTTATAACATGGGATTTATCACAGTCCCTTGAGATACGTTATAAAAGATGTTTACTGTAAATGGTACTGTAGAGCCACCAAAGATAGAAATTTTTATATAAAGATGGGAGGAAACACACTCATTTTGTTGTCATTGGGGTTGGAGATTGAGTTAGATGTTGGCTGTAAAATTCACATGTAGGTAACCGTTCTGTAGAATTTGATGTTGGATATTAAGACTTGCTTTGTTTGTTAGAATCAAATAATCTGATGCACATTTATCCCACTTTTTCTGCAGTATTGGATTGGAATAGAGATATTCATTCACACTGTATATGTGTTATACTAGAGACATTGCTTGAAGATTTCAGACATCCCAGTTTTATAAATTTCTCCACAGGGGCCACCATGATGAAACGGAGACTGAGAACATGAACCCTGAAGACATTTACAACTCAATCAAGCAGACGACAGCGGACATACAGAATCTGAGCTTTCACAGTAAGCTGGAGAATTACGATCCTGTGAAAAAGAAGCGGGAGTTCACGTCGCAGGACAGCGGAATACAGGATTTACGGAACGACAGTCCTGACGCAGTGGATACCAGGAAAGGCAACTACAACCCTTCACAATACTCTGACGAGGTGAGCTTTTATGAAAATGGATTCAGTTAAAGTCTTACTGAAGTTTTAATTAATAATACATATACATAGCTGACATAGATCTCATGTTTTTGGGATGTTTGATTTATGCATGTCTTCCTTAGATATATTTTAGTAGAGTGAAGTCATGATAAATGAATGAATCAATTTCAAATGTAAAATCAAGAAAAAAGACATTATTGTGTCCCCTACATATAGTAATCTATTTGATTGAATGTTATTTTGTCAATATAACAGTGATTAATTCTCTAGATTGCAATTTATGAAGTGAATTTTCTTACATGCTGCTATACAAGTATCTAGACACAGGAGAGCTCTTTTCAGTTTTGCTGTCCTTTGTTTTGCAGGCAATGAATGGCTACAATAATCGGTCACGCCTTGCAGATGCAGAATTAGACGACAGTGAATTGTTTAACGAAGGTAAGCATTTCTCTCTGTTGTCAACCATTGTTCACAAAAAAACACTTTCACTTCCAACTAGCTATTTCCTGTTATGATCATGTCAGAACAATAGCACATACATATATATTGATGAATACCAGTTATGAAACAATCCTTTTGCATGTCTTTGAAAAGAAAACTTCAAAATTCAGTTATATATATATACGCAATATAAGACATATGCTATTTTGTACAGCTTAGCAGCCTGAAAATAAAGAAATATATTGAAGCAGGATTGACAGCTTATGTGATATTTAAAAAAGAAAGAAATCTTTAAACAGATATACCATCAATATAACAATTATTTTAAGATTAAGGATAGCTTTGTAAGTTTTTGTTTGGCTGATAGCAGTTTTATGAAATTTTCAGACATGATAAACTCAATAATACTCCCAGGTTAGTTATACAGGCCACTGTATTCTGTAGCAATGTATTCCTATTTATCTGTGTTCATACATTTACAACGTACTATCTACTTCTATTCTAAATACTGCAAAATCAATTAATTAGCCATCATTTATCTTACATTTGTGTATCAACTAATACACAAGTAGAAAATATTGTCATATTTTCTTGAGAAAGAAAAAAATGAAAGTTTGAAATTTTATGGTTTAAAGTATCTAAAGGTGAAATGATATGGCACTATAGGTGATAGTGTCATAGTCATGTGATGTAGATATCTCGCAGCATTCATTTATAATGGTGGCCGATGCTATTTGGAAGATTATACATGTAGTTGCAATTTACTGGCAAAATTAGATATTCACACCATATATCACCTCAATCATAGCCTGGCAAATATTTAAGGTGACTGTCCCTTGCACTTTGACTTTCAAAATATTGTTACTCTTTGTACTGCCACTGAGGTATACATACATGTTTATATCTCTGCTTTATAAAACACTGTATACACTTGGTCTATTTTTCTGTGTTTGTTTAATATTTTTTTTCCAGGAAAACATTTTTTTCAAATGTCTGATAATTTTAGAATTTTTTATGATGGCTAAAGAAGAAAAATGCTGAATGAAGAACATTTAATTCTGCAGTATTCAATATTTACAATGTATATACACATTGTAATCGCTTTTAGCCACATATTTTTTTTTCCTGACATAAATAAATTGAGGCATTGTTTTTATGTTTATTTTTTTTTTTAAGCAAACATATGTTCTGCTTTATGAATATTTGCAACTATGGAAGTTTTCATCTGCTCAACTTCATTTCAGTTCATTATGAATTCTTTCATCACATTACAAAAGAAGTTTTACTTCTTCATTGTCATATTTATTACCAAGTTCCTAAAGGAAAAATGTTCTGAAAAGGAGAAACCTTTATTTTCATATAGATCCATGGAAAGCCATTTTAGGAATCTCATGCTCTGAGCATGATGGTAGGTCATGGTTGGAAACCAATTTTATCTGTTTTATTTTTTCTTGTGACTTCTTGTCATTTTACACTGACTTGTTAACAGCTAACTTGAACAATAGGTCCCTTTATCCAGTGTTTGAATCGTCTCTGTGTATCTTTGTAAAGGAATGGAGATCAATGAATTATTCTAGAGCTTGAGACCGTACTATAGAAATGATTGTCATAGATATTGTCCATGTTTTATGCACGGTTAAGATGAGAGTTTGTCCTCTGTATAGGTGTCATTTTGACTTCATCCAAAACCATTTTCACATTTCCTTCCATGCATCACTAACATTTGAATAAATTATAAGCATGCTTTTGTCAGGTGATTTTGTTTATCTTTTGTTTACACTTTGTGTTCATATCCATGCACTTGTACATATTTATTACTACAATGGAGTTTATTTATATATAATTATTTATTTATTTTAAAAGAAATTGAATTTACATACACATACTGTGCCATGGTCAGAAGTATATGTACATTTTTTTGTTCAAAAAGCATGTGTTTTTGCATGACAGATTTCTTCATGTTTGTTTAGGAAACTTAATTATTGACTTGACCTTTTCCAATTTAATCACAAAAAAATCTCATTTAAGAGTTTAATTTCTTTCATTTTATTCATGTATTCTGTGTTCATGATCTTTAGTTTGTCCTCTATTCTTAACTATCATCACTTCTCAAATTCACATAAAAAAAAAAAGATTTTCAGTATGTACTTCGATTAAAACAATTTTTTTTATCATCATTTCAGAGTCCACAGATAGTGATGTCATCACAGGAATTTTAACAGAATTATCAAATCACAATAAAAGGTAATCTTAATCTTAATAAAAAGGTAAAAGATTAAAATAAGAGTTTGTAGATTATAAACAAAATTGTTAAAGATTATCTGAAAATGATTTTACAAATTCTATATGAATATACATGAACTTAAAACATTTTGTGTAAATTCTTTAAAATCGTGACTGTGTGTTATATTTTCAGGAATAATGAACGAAAGGACGCCATGCTGTCCTTGATTAAAATGACGAGGGAGGGAACATTTAATTTCTGGGATGAACACTTCAAAACCATTCTGTTTGTTTTACTGGAAACCTTAGGGGACTCCAATGTAAGGAAATTCCTTTTAACAAAATGTGATGTTTATCATGGAATCCAAAAATTATTAAAAAGGATGAATATGGATTCATTTATTTTGCGATCATATGGATAGGAAATGACCCTTTGAGCTTCTTTTCACTGAAATGGAATTTTTCACTAAAGATGACACTTTCTAAAAAGAGAATGCTGATAAAATAAAATTCAAGCTATTTATGTATAATCCAAGACAATTTATAACTTATGAAAATCTTTACAAATAAAACTTTGTTAGAGTTATCTCTCTTACATAAAGTGATTCCACCTTTATAAAGAAAATGTAGAATAAACTAAGAAAAGAAGTTGATGAAAAGCTTTAAAAAATTAAATGTAAAAAATCCACGTGCAGAATTCTGTTTAATTAATCTAGAATTTTAATATTTAAAGTTGGAATATGTTTTTGATTTTCTTTGACTTTTAAATAATCCATTTCTATACCTTTTTCAGGGCCATATTAGGGCATTAGCATTACGGGTACTTAGAGAAATTCTTAAAAATCAACCTAGTCGATTCAAAGATTACACAGAGCTGACAATTCTTCGGATCTTAGAGGCTCACAAAGATTCAGAGCGAGAAGTCGTACGTTCAGCGGAGGAGTGTGCCGACACACTGGCAAATTACCTACCGCCAGAAACCTGTGTCCGCATCCTGAATCCAATCATCGATACTGCAAACTACCCAGTCAACTTAGCAGCCATTAAAATGCAAAACAAGGTATAAATTGATAGAGCAATATGTAGCTAAAACTCCAGATTTCAAACCAATGCGACTGTCTAAAAAAAATTTGAAATGTTTAAATGTAAAAGATAACAAGGATAATATTTAATTCAAATTGTAGCTGGGAACTGTGCTCTTGATTTGACATATTGGCATTCATGGTATTGATAGTTCAACTATATTTGCACTTTATGCTATACTTTGATAGATAAATCATATGAATTTTATCACATTAAACACTAGGTGGTGTTACTGTGTAATGTCAAAATATGAATGAATTATGGCTGAAAGTATGCCAAGGTTAAAACTTTTCAACTCTTCAGCATTTTTGTGTAAGGTGTCTTATAAATGAATTCCATTTCCAAGTGCAATATTTAGTTCTGAGCTATAAATGCAACATATTTTTTTCAATTTATCTCAAAAATGTCAATTTCTATTTTGTTGCATACAGAGAATTGTTCTATTTTAAGTATCAAGATAACATGCAGGGCAGGGTTATTCTTGATGTAGGCTATTACATTTTGATTTTTTTTTTCTATTTCAGGTTCTAGAGCTATTACCCAAAGACACATTAGAAGCACAAATGGGAGAAATCATTCCTGGATTATTAAGGGTAAGAATCCAGTGTAAGGGAACTAGGTTGTCTACAAGTGACGTGAACATTGAGTAACTTATTACATACATGTACATGTACAGCATCAACAAAAAAATAGTGTCCAGGTGATACATGCACAAAATATTCAGCGTTTGCACAGATATTTGAAATCTCTTATTCACATAGATACATGTACTTCCTTAAAAGCTGGTCATTGTTATTTGTTATGATACCACTTGTACATGAATTTGATTCTTTGATACTTAGATTACTGCAGTATCTTTTCTTATTTTGGCCATTGCATTGTATGTTGTAGAGGGGAATGTCCATGAAGGATGAAGTTATGTTTTAAATTTCATTTTTGGCAATTTTAGGGATATGATGACCAACAGAGCACAGTTAGGAAGTCTGCAGTGTTCTGTCTAGTGGCCATATACCTTAAAGTAGGAGAAAGCATCTGGAATCACCTCACCAAGCTCAACTATAGTAAAGTAAGTCAAAACTCAACTAAAAGTTAAAAATGTCAGGCAAAATAGTCAAACAAACCAAGGACTCTGCTAAAGTATCTCACTCAGCTATAGTAACTGTAAAGTAAGTCAAAACCTATAGTAAAAATAACAAATAGTCAAACAAGCAAGAACTCAGCATTCAGCTATGTATAGTTAGTCAAAACTCAACTAAAGCTTAGAGCTCAGCTACAGTAAAGGTATATTAAGTCGTAGGTAAACTATAACAAGAAAGCCAGAGCTGCTAATCAAAATTCATTGGAGTGAAATTAGTCGAGGCTTAACTAGTAAGGTGACTCAAGAGTGTAAATGGAGTAAATAATTCAAAATGCAACTAAAACCATTGTTTTGAAAGTTAGATTTATTGTGCAGAAGCTTATACATGTCAATTCATATATATAGTGCAAGTTGTGAACAGTAAATTTAATACACCATGTAGTATAAGATGGTGTATAATCAATAAAAATCAAGTACATGTAATTATGAAAGTGCTCAAAAACTTTCTGTGCAGATAAACTAAATTATTATGATTCCTCTTTTCTTGATATTTCAGTCAGTGGGATGACTCTTTTTATCATCTGATGTAAAACAAAAGTATATTCCACAAGTTTCATACCTGCAGTTATCTAGTAGATAGGCACAAATATTGAGTACAGTTGATATGTATTTCCTGATGTGTGTGGGAGTAAGGGGGGGGGGAGTAACTGTCAGAGCTAAGATTAAGTTATCATCAAGTTCATTGGAACTTCCTGTTCCTGCTGAGAAGGAAGAACTCTGGGAAAAAAGTATATTTTTGCTGCAAGGGAGGAAATAGTAAAGTTAAGGGAGATTACTCTGATATCTTTGAAAAATATTCCTGTAATGAACTTTTTATTTACAATGATAATGTTGCAGTGGATTTGATGCTTCAGAAAATTTTGCTCAGTAAGAGAACAAGGAACTATAAATATAATCTATGGTCACCGGAAAGAAATTGAGGTGACATAACTTTTGATTCACCGTAGTTTTGTCAGTGACTGTTCTTATAGATGGCTTATGAAATCTTAACAAAACCTTGATTTAGCAGAAAAATTGACTCAAGGCAAATATATCCATCATAACTTTTAATTTTTGGGCAGATAAACCGAGGAAGAGATTTGGATGGTATTTAAAACACATTAATTTGAACTGTAATATGTAATAAAGTGATTAGAGCTTGATTTACATATCTCTAATCACGGTGTTGAGTTTGGTCACACCCAGCTGTAGGAAATAACAGATACATCATAGGAGAAATTAGGGGATTCTGGCAAATTTTTTAAGAGATAAAGGATTATAAATGTACATATTTTTTATTGATATGTACGCAGATGCAAAAAGTTATCTTGGTACAGTTGGCATAAGTTGGTGAAAATATTAATTATAATTTATTTAAGTATTCAGATATTATATTGAGAAATTTGTGTCATAGTTTATGATTTCATTTTGTTGTACTGATAAAGAATTACATGTTCTATATAAAAGAAAATCATCTTTATACCTGACTTTTATAACACAAAGAAACATGATCAAAGCACAATTGCAATTAAGTTTATGACATTCGATATATGGCATGTTTATATTGGCACTAGGTCACTAATACTCTCTTACAAACGTGTTATTTCCACTTACCTTCGAACTTTGAAAACAAAATATGACAAAAACTCTGAAATAATTTTATTTTCTTAATAATGTGCAATCTTCTTTTTCTGACTGTGTAAGGTGATGTTTGAAGCTTTGTCTAGGTGTAAAAATATATGTATGATTATCAGTTGTGTTCTTAATGAGTACCCAGTTAACCATCAAACAAGGCAGGTATTGGTTGGTGAAAGCTCTGATTTTATGTATTCAATGGAAACATGCAATATAAAATTAATATTTTCATTTATCAGGGACCTCTATGTTAGAGTTGGACCCTGGTGTTTTTGCCATTAGGCATGATTTACTCTTTCACAAATGCAATCGACTTGATTAGTTTTCACAGTTTATCTAATTCATAAGGCTTAGTTTGTTGGTGGTATGCAAGTTTTGGAGACCTTAGTTATAATTTCATCAATTATTGTTGAGTAGCCAACTCTTTAATCAAGATGCTGCCTCAGACATTGAAAGCATTTATTTTTCAAGCATTATATTTTTTTAAACAACAAACAAATTGTTAGTGCCCAATAGATGATTGAAAAATGAAATAAACTTGGAATTTCATCACGTGTTTGCTCTATTTTGGACTATGATTTGTAATAATTATACAACAGTCAAATCTAATTGTTATCTCAAACTCAACAGGACCAAGGTTAAACTTCAAGATATCTGAGGATTCGAGATAAGGAGGTTTAATAACATAAAGAAAAGTGGTTTGGACTGCTGAATCACTTCGACATATCCTAGACCATCCCTGGTATTAGAGATATCAGTGTTCAAGATAACAAAATTGAACTATATTTGTGTATTTGTTAAAAAAAAAAAAGATTGATATTATAAGAATGAAAAGAACATTATAAGAAATAAAATACAATAATGCTTCTTTCTTAAAAAAAAAAAAAAAAAAAAAATGTGTGTGCCCTGACAAATGTTGTTAAGAATTCTTAAAGAAAAAGTATCCACATAAACAAAAGAAAATGTGCGGTTAAGTGATTACTAAAAGTCTTGCCATTCAACAACACTAGTTATCATATATTGATATTCTAATCTTTCACCGTAATTAATCATTTAATTGCCTACTTTGAAATGAAAATCACTCGTGTATTATTAAAGTGTCCATCTCAGAATTGTTCAGAGATTCTTGACTGTGTATATTAATTGGCACTATGATTTTTTTTAAATTTTTTTTTTTTGTATACAATTGCATAGCAAATTTCTTGCATTTAATAATAAATGTAATTTTATTTTTCTTATGAAAAAAAAACAAAAAAACATTTTCCTTTTCTATGTGAAGCTGCTACATTGGAAAGTATTTATATAATATTCAATGTTAATGTAATACATACATATAAGAACATTCAATGAATGTAAACAGCAGACAAAAAAAACAAGAAGTTAATCTTTTTGATCATGCAAGTAATAAAATACTTTATTGGAGAAAAAAGTCTGGTTAGTCATTCTTTGGTTGAGTAACATAGTACTAGAACAGGTAAAAGACAGATAAACCAATTACAGCCAATTTGACAATCCAGATAGATACATATTTATTTTTTCTGATTCCTGTTTCTCTTTATTGACCTGCAAACATGAGTCAGTGTATGAATTATATGAATGAATTAAATGAATGAATTGGATTTCAAAGAACTTCATTTCTACCAGATTATCCTTGCAAGAAATGGTGTTTTGATTGCCATTTAATGTATGTAGATTGCTACGATGATCTCTTCAATCGGACTTAAGTAAACTCTGTTCCCCCTCAAATCGATTGTACACAAAATGTTTAATGGGCTGTTTTACACTTTGAACATTTTTCTTAATATGGCTTGACAATTTAGGGCATTTTAATATGGCTTCCCCTTTATTTGAAATTAAGAAAAACATTTTTATGGACAAAGATAGCTTGTGCAGAATCTTGATTTCATATTCATTCATTCAAGATGTTCACTTGAAATTGGAATTCATCAGATGTTATCTGAAACATGTGTTAATCCACCAAATACTAAAGTTTTGACAAGAGAATTACATTAAGGACATATATAACTAAAGCAATCAAATTTGTTTAGATTTGATGTGGTTTTTACTGTGTTTTGCATAACTTGAGGTAAACAATACAAGGTCAAGGTTCGCTTATTGATAAAAGGGTGTTAGCTAAGATATGAAAAATTTAGCCCTCTTGTGGGGTCGTTTTTGATAGATTTTTCAAACTTTATTATCTAGTAGATTTGATGAAATGATTTTTATACTTTCACACCAAAAAGCTTTATACATATAGATAAGATTGCTGTATGCACCAGGATTTGAACACTCCTGGGGTGAGACCACCACCGCTGAGCCAAGGGGAAGATGGCTGTTTGGGGTCATTTGCCAGGGTTTTTTGTAATTGATTAAGAGGAGGAAAATTATGTCAATCCTTTTTAATTCTTGGCAGACAGGCATTTTATGCAATAAAATTGATTTGTACTTTTTGTGAAGATAAACTGTAAACATGAGATAGACTTGTTTGTTTTAAGGAAGCTGTGAGGCTTTAGGTTTGAGGTCTTCTTTTTTCTGGGCAACTACTGAGGTTATGATGTTGAAGTGATGTTCTCTATTCTTTCACATTTCTATCAAGGAAGTGTTTCTCATTACTGATTATGTTAAAAAAAATTAATTTTTTAACATGCTCATTTTAAGTAGGAATGGTAGATGGTTACATCTTGTTGCCATAGATTTTTAGACTCTTTGGAGTCAAGTCAGATAGGGAAAAAAAAAGTTCAGAAAATGTTTGGAATCATTTTACTTCATTTAAAGGGAGATTGGCATTACTTTTAGGTAATGAAGTGCATTTGATATCATAGCCAGCATTCTCATTTTCCTCATAAATTTCATCTGAAATTTAATAGGTTTGAGACATAGAATATTTTTATGACAGTAATAAGATATTAAACATCCACTTTTTATGTAAATTTCTCTGTTCCATACCCATCACAAGATTATAAGCACAAATTATTATATCTGTTTTCTCATCCACCTTACTAAAAAAAGATTTTCATCAAAATATAAGTGAATGGCCATGGTTTACTTTGAAGAATTTTTTTAATGGCTGGTATTGAAAATTCTCTCATTTTGCCACCTTCCTTGTTTCAGTGTTAAGTTAGAAAGGCTTCACACATCAGACTGGGGAATTTTTATATTCTGGTAGAAATTTGAAGAGATGAGAAAAATTTTTCACTGTATAAATAAATGAGAATATTAAAATGTATTTTATGAATCTTAAAGAGTTCAAAGTGGTGTTGGAGTAGATTATGATCAGTATTTGTCCTCTATAACTTCATGTCATATTCAGATTTAATGATGCATTCTATCTTTTTATTGCCATCCCTTTAACTTCAAATATCAGTGAAATTGATTGCTACACATTTCAAGCTTTTAAACATTTAATGATTTAAAAAATATATATCTTCCCATGCCTACACTCAGTATCGCCTAGAATTCCAAATATTGAATAAATCACTGTCTTGACTGAATATTTCATTCTCAGAATAACTTTTCAGATATCTTTTTCCCTTACTTCTTTAAGTTTAAAGAGGCCTGGCTCTTTCAACAAAAACATAACTTGTTTATAGGTCATTCTTATTACTAATATCAGTACAGCGACACCAATGTATCTCTTTTTAAATTCCAGAAGATAGCAAATTATGAAATTATGGTCCAGTATTGAATACAGGGTTGGGTATGAGAAATCTCATAAATCTAAGATTTTTGGCAGCGATAAATTTGGAAACGATCTTTGCTGTAATTTTAGATACATTAATAATGTGATTTGTTGTTGGATTAGCTGGTGCAAGCTATTACCAGGATTGATATATGTGTGTCGTTATCTGGTGAAAAAAAGAAGACCCGCGGAAAAAAAATTCATTTTGCCTTCATTTAAGAAATCATTAAACTTGTTTTTCTGTTATGATTCACATTTCATGGTGTGAGGTATTAACGTCAGTCCAATTTTGTTTTACTTGAAAATTACAAGGTACATGGTGTTAAATCACAAAGTCACAATTAAAAGGTGGTGTACCTGTTACAAAATGTGCAATCTTTGAATTGACCTATTTATACTCGGTATGGACCAAAGTATTTGAACCAGTTTGGTATGATGGAACCTTTAATAACGGGGGTTCCTTTTTATGAACATTTTTCTTATACTGTCAAAAAAGAATGAAATGGTTAGGTTTGAATGAAATAGAAATTCATCCAAAGTAGAAAAAGAAATCGATATAAGAATTGTCAAAAAAATCATTGTGATGTTTTGCTTATTATTTTCTTTTTTTTGTTTTTAGGTAAAACTCTTAAATTTATACATCAAGCGAGCTCAACAATCTGGTAGCGGTACTTCAGCATCTTCCTTAGATACATGAGACACACCCCCTAGCAACAAAATATGCCATAAAAATGGACTATTACCATTCCACCAGGGAGAGACAGAAGCTTTTTTTTTGATTGGTCTATTCCACATGAGATGAAGAAAACTTGTGTCTAAAAGTGAGAATGTGAAAGAACACCTTATTAAGAAATCGGCAGTGACTGCAAGCCGAATTAGGGGTCTAGGACTCTGAACAGATGATGGATATTGACATATCTCGTGTTGTCCAAGTCACTCAGGAGTTGGCTTAGCTTATACACTATTTATTGTCTTTTGCTTGACATCTCTGTGTTGTATCAGGAATGTACTAATTGATATTATAATTATTCTTAGTGTGTTCATAAGGACTGTACCTTCTCTATAAGGGAAATAAAATGGGAGGGAAATGTACTTTACTTTGTACGAGTACAATCTTAGATACATGTATTTCTTGTACACGCTTCTTATGATGTTCTGTACCAAATGTACTTACTATGGTGGATTTTCTTTTGATAAATTTAATTATCACATACAGATACATAAACAATTTTTTATTTACAGGCACTTTTTTATAACCTGAAAAAAGACTTGTATTTAGGAATGCGACCAGTCTATAATTCTGTAGCATGTACATTCACCCAGTGATATATTCCTATTATAATTGTGTTGAAAATATTCACACATGTTTGTATAAGCAAATAGGGTGTATTCCTATTGTCACAGAAAAAAATAATCATTCGTGTATATTTCATCATCATCTAACAGTAATGGGTGTGTGGCCAGTATTTGAACAAGTGATTGAAAAAGCTAACAAGGGGAGCTTACTCTTTGTTGAAAATGCTAACAAGGGGAGCTTACTCTTTGTAATAACATCCATGAACCAGTGATTGGATGGTCTTAAAGGAATGAAAACAAATTCATTAAATAAGAAGGCTGGTGTCTATGAAAATTATTGTCAGAGAGTTGAATGTCTGCAGAATTACAGCTTTTGATGTGCGGTGACTTTTGTCAGCCCAGTTCCTATGAACAAAAGGAAAAAAAGACAGAGACAGAAATTATTATTTGACAGTATGTAAGGGAGATTGAAATGAGAGTTGGATGAATCGTGTATGAATTTTTTTGAAGCAATGGGGGAAAAATCATGTTAACTTGTCTTTCAGGTGCAAAAGAATGAAATATATGAAGGAAGTGGAGATTGCTTGTGTGTTTTTCATGTACTATTGATATTTACTCACAGATAAACTAAAAACTATTCATTTATCAGAATTACAGCAAAGACGATAAATCTTGCCAATAAGATATTTTTAGACTTTGTCTCATCATTTAATCTACTGATATAAGACTAGTGGGGAAAAAATACGACAGGGTCATTTTTAAAGTCTCATAGATTTTTTTTCTTTTTCATGTTAGAAAAATTAAGTATAAGCAAATATACAGTGTTTTAGAGAAAAAAATATATGATGTAGTACAGGTATGTAAATGATGTATCATATTTACTGCATATTACTTTTTTTTATCTGAACAAATATGGGGATTTGCTGTATATCTTTTTATCATGCATACAAGAATTTTTAAAGTTTCATCTTCACGTCGGCTTTTATGCTGCATCATCACCCACATGTCTCTGTTTTGACATTATTAGAGATTTACAGATCCAGTTACAGAGGAAGTTCTCAGACAAAAAAAATTGTTGTAATTCCACCATGAATGAAACTTCCATGCACAATTTGCATGTAGTAATTTATCATATCCCTGATAAGCAATTTTAATTTAAGTAAATATGATCTTTTCTGAAGTTGAAATCTGAGCTGTAAGGTCAACTCTGAGAAAGAACTGCCACTGTTGTTTTGTTAAATGTTGTAATGTCTGTGTAAGGAAAAATTTTCATTTTGTAAGCTTGTTCCCTGACCTAAGGTTGTGGAGGACCAGTTTAGGGTCAATGGGTTATTCATGGATGGGTTGTGTGATGTGCATGATCTGAATTGTAAATGCTTTTGATGTACAATTCCTTATAATAATGTGTATAACTTCATTTAATGAACAAACATGAATGACATGATTAAAGTCATCTAAATAAGTAAAACATCTTGTTTTTTAAAAAAATGCGAGTAATGCATTGGCTTAAGAGTTAAGACATATATTTATTAGGTATAATTTTAAGTTTACCTGAGCCAAAGGCTCATGTTAGCTTAGTTTTAGGCAAATATGTCTTCCATATATATGCCATCTGTACATTTTTCTTCTCCAGAACCACTGTATCAAATTTCAACCAAGCTTGCCACATAGCATCCTTGGTGAAGGACATCCAGATTATGACATGTAATGAAAAACCACACCCTCAAGTGGAGATAATAAATAGTGTAAAAAGAGTGAGGTCAATTAAAAATTTCTCAAAAACCAATAGACCAGAAAAGACGAATTATATGACAGCTTCCTTATATAGTGTAGGTCCAAGTATGTTCAAATTACATTGATGGCTGCAAAAAGGAGTCAACTTTTTATAAATCTATAGAAAAAATCTTTTCATGGACAGCTGACCCAATCGAATTAATAAGCAAGCATCCTCATATAGTGTAAATTCAAGTCCGTCCAAATGACCTCAAGGATATTGTGGGGCCACGATAGAGGGCGAGTTATTTAAATAATTATGTATACATGTATTGAGAAAAATCCTGAGAACATCAGGGCCACATTTAGTCATTAATATATAAGCATGTCCATGTACAGAATAAGTTTTGTTCAAATATTGCCCCCAAGGATAGGATGAGGCTACAACAGAGGGGTTTAAGGTAAGATGACACATTCCTCAGTAATATATAATTCTTCCCAAGAATTTGTGATTGAATTATGGGTTCTCTAACAAGTTCCCTCACAAAAAATTGAGGTACATTACATGACATTTGTGCAAGATAACGGAGGATGATATTTCCTAAATAATCCTACTGGGTGTTACTTGATTTGCTGATATCATGATTTTTGTGTATATATTTTTGAAGACATTTTGAAAACCGTTAAGAAATCGCAAGATGATATAAATATTTTTGGTATGGTACAAAGAGAAACAAAATCAGATATTCGAGGAATGTGTCATCAGACCCTAAGTTTTATATGGATATAGGGAAGAAATCTGTAGGAAGTTTCTAAATTTAAAAAAAAGCTAAGCCATAATCAAATCAACATTTAAGCACTACACATTGTCTAGATGCACATTTCAAATCATACCCCTTGGGGCAAGGATTGGGCCATAATGGGATGGGGATCAAAGTTTTACAAGGTAATACATGTATATATAGGGAAACTCCTTTAAAATATACCATCAAAATAAAGCAGAGTCAAATATATTTACATAATTACAGTCGAACACGGATATCTCGAATACCATGGATATGTCGAAGTGATTTTGAAGTCCCACCTGCTTATTCCTTAAGTATTTTACGCTGGATATCTCGAATCCTTGGTTATCTCGAAGTATTTTCTCGGTCCCTTCGAGATAACGAGGTTTGACTGTATATTCATCTGCAAGCACACTCATCTATTGTAGCAGAGACATATAAAAACCATATGTCTCTGATTGTAGGTATGAGTTTGTTCAGAGCATGGCCTCAGGGACAAATTTTAGACTTAAATTTGAGAACAAAGTCTCTAGTACACAGAATTACACTGATATTCAAAAGAAGTTAACAATTGATACTTTAAGTGTAAATTAAAATTGTTCAGATCATAGACTTGAATTTTGTGATTGTCATATCCTCAGTTTTGTACATTATTCATTTGTCAGGAAGAGAATGGTAACTAAGGCGAGCAATGTGACCCACGAGCCTCTTGTACGATAACTAAGGTAGTGTAACTTACTATAGATTTTAAGAATACATGTGCTAAGGACCAAAGGATGCCAAAATATTAATAAATAACATGCAGAATATGCTCGCATAGCAAGATTACCTTGGAAGTAGAGCTACATGAAAATTGTATGCCTTTTAAAGGTATACTGTAAGACAGAGGTGAGCTTTCCTCACATAGTCGATTAATGTTTTAAATTAATTGCCATCTGCTTTTTTGCAATTAAACTCTATCATCTGACCAATTCATATTTAGCCCATTTTAATAGCATTGGCAATTTTCTCCAGCAGCAAGACGTTACGATGTATTACGATGATCTTTTAGAACTGGTCGTTTTTAATACGGTGTACTTTAAATATTGAATTCTGTCAATATCGATTATAAAAACATTTGTTTAATGTTCTTTTTTTTTTAAATTTAAAGTACGTAATAGGTGATGCAAAATTGTACAGAATCAGTTACAGTTTGATAAAAAGTAATGTCAAGGTAATATTTTTCTCTCCGTTTCCCTGTCGATTATCATCAGTCAGATAAACATAATGTGTCAATAACGTCTTCTAAAACCTAGGAATTAGGTGGTATCTATATGCATACATTACTGCAAATGCTCGTATATACCAGGCGATCTGCTAATACCAGGCCCGTAGGAAGCAATTTCAGTTGGGGGGGGGGGGGGGGGACAACGTACCATACATTTTCAGTTGGGGGGGGGGGCACTATCAGCTACCAAAAATTCCTTGACAAGCAAAAAAAGGTCATTAGACGTTATTATTGAGGGGGCACAAGCCTATGGTAGCTATGTCTTCTATAGTATTCTATACATCGGCAAAATTATTGGGGGGGGGGGGGTGTACGCCCCCCCGTGCCCCTCCCCCGGTTCCTACGGCTATGAATACTGTGATCACTCATTCGATCCCTAGTAAATATATTTTAGCCTTCACTAAAAATTGTACACGTCTGTTTTCAATGCGGATTTTAACCAGAGTGCACTTGGCGTTGCCTTCCCCTCAACCTTCCCGAAAAAAAAAAAATATTAATTTCATTGGCCCTTTTCATGACTGCTACGATATTTACTATTTTTTAGCCCTTTCTAGTTTGAAATAACGAATCCAACCATAAAATTCAATATTTTTTTTTCATTATTAAGACAATTATAGATCTTGACTAAAGTTGTTTTGTACACAGTCACCTGACGTATGGGTGGTGCCTCACCCCAACCCCACATCGAGAATCTTTATTAGACACGATAACTTACCAAAAATACATAATTCCTAGCCTATCATGCCTATTATGTTCCGATATCTGATATAATTTTCAGTTTTTGTTAAGTTTTAGAAATCAAATTTATGTCCACCTGAAAGGTCGGGTACAGGTGATATTTCAGCCAATCAGCTAGGAATCAGTGATTCAATGATACATATATAATATTACATTTTCTTACGGTTAAGGTACTCTTGGAACTGATGGTGTTTGTGTTTGTCAACTGTACAGTCAGTCATTTCTCTAAATATATTTCATTCAGAAACATGGAAATCTGTTTCTTTTCAATGCTGCTGCTGTTGGAAGTTCAAGGATTTTCTAGACAGCGCCCATTTGTCAATTACCAACTATTACATTGTTTAAGCATTAAAACACTTGTCTGATATTTTTATGTACTCCACGATATATGTTACACCCAGTTCAAAAGAAAATGGATATTTTAAATAAGAACACTACGAAAGCTTTCTCAGTTCTGTAAATTTTAATAGACAAAACAAATGTGCACAATACATCTTAATTGCAATAGAATCTTGAGCATAACTCTTCATTCTGAAAAATACGTCAATACCAGGATAACAATGTATGTGCAATCAATTAGTTTCTGTATGCATATTTAGATGCCTCCCGATAGTTCGAACTTCAAAAGCAAAAACAAAAAACAAAAACAAGAGGCCCAGGGGCCACATCGCTCACCTGAGCACTGTGGCTTGGGGAAAAAAAAGCAAAAAATTAGTTTAGTATTGAATAGTTTTTTACCTATATACTCCTATGTTTTAAATTTTGATCATCCATTGTGGCTCCAACCTACCCCCGGGGGTCATGATTTTAACAAACTTGAATCTATACCACCTGAGGATGCTTTCACATAAATATGACCAATCATTGCTTTGCTGTTCTTGAGAAGATGATTTTCAAGATTTTTACGATGTATTTCTATGTACAACTTTGATCATCAATGGTGGCCCCACCCTGGCCCGGGAATCATGATTTGAACAAACTTGAATCTACACCTCCTGCAGATGCTTCCATATAAATATGACCAATCATGGCTTTGCTGTTCTTGAGAAGAAGAATTTTTAGAATTTTTCCTATACACTCCTGTGTTAACTTTGATGTCCATTGTCCACTGATTGAACAAACTTGATTCTACACCACCTGAGGATGCTTCCGTGTAAATATGACCAAGCATAGTTTTGCTATTCTTGAGAAGAAGATTTTTAAAGATTTTATCCTATATATATCCCTATGTTAAACTTTGATCGTCCACTGTGGCCCCACTCTTGCCCCGGGGGTCATGATTTGAACAAACTTGAATCTACACTACCTGACAATGATTCCACATGAGTTTCATCTTTCCTGGCCCATTGGTTCTTGAGAAGAAAATTTTTCAATGATGCCATTAATTTTTCGCTATTTCGTAATTATCTCCCCTTTGAAAAGGGCGTGGCCCTTCATTTGAACAAACTTGAATCCCCTTTACCCAAGGATACTCTGTGCCAAGTTTGGTTGAAATTGCCCCAGTAGTTCTGGAGAAGAAGATGAAAATGTGAAAAGTTTACAACGACATCGACAACGAAGACAGACAACGGACAAATTTTGGTCAGAAAAGCTCACCTGAGCCCTCGGCTCATGTGAGCTAAAAAGTAAAGTTCCCGTCCCGATATGTACATTGTAGAAAAAGTAACAGACAGCAGGTTACAGGTCCTTTTTCAGTCTCTTTTTGACTATACTCTTGGAACTCTGTTTCTTTATGAAATATGCGTGTTTATGAAAGTTTGAAATTATCTTTAGGCATGTTTAAGAATTATTTCACATAAAGTATATGGTTTTGGAATATTTGTCTGTCACAAAATCGAGTCCGATAACTCTAGAACCCATGACTCTCCAGAATGGATTCCGACTTCAATACAATGCGTCATGATCTTGAATTAAGATTCATACCTTTAAAAAGGTCAAACAGTCCCGTAGCAACGGTTTCAAAAC